CCAGCTCTGCTTTTAAAGGCAGGGCAGTTGGATCCAGTCGGGCTGTGGATGTTTCCCAGCAGCTGCCTGGTGCACACGGTTCTGCACATTTGTGTTAATGATCGTGATGAGCACTGGAAATGTGTCTGGACAGGAAACAGAGAGCAGATGAGCCCAAGCACCACACAAGCTTCATTTCTTTCACGAGGCAGACTACTTGGGCATGAAATATTTGTCACACTTTCCCCCGTGGATGAGTGATTCCAGACTTGGCCCAGTGCAAGCCGGTGTAAGTAAACACATCTCCTCCGTAGCTCTGGTAAATGATCTAAGAGATCTAATGCTGAGAGTAAGGAGAGGAGGGGAAATATTGTCCCAGGGTTGCTGGATGAGCTTAATGCCTTTTTCTCCTTGTGTTTAGCAGGGTGTTTGGGATCTGGGTGGTGAATGATGTGTCCATCAAAGCTCAGATGACGTGTGGCTCTGTGGTGGGTGTAACGTTACCGGCCGGCTCACGTGTGGAGTGTTGGGATGATTCACCTCAATTCCAAGTCCCTTTCATCACCATTAAGCCCAGCCCCCAGCTTTCAGACACTCAAGGACCAGCTCTGTTTCTCCAAAGCTTTCCAAGTGTGTTTCAGCACAGCAAACGCAGATCTGGAGCCAAACTCTCTCCCTGTGGGATGAGTTCACACCTGGGGGTCCAACGCAGGCTCCTGCTCCACGTATGAGTGCTGGATGCTGTGGGAGGGACACGGATGATGGCCATCCCATAACTGCAAAAATCAATTCCTTTCCTTTTTTGTGACAGCATTTAAAAAACTCAGAGCTAATTTAAGAAATAACCCATTTGTTTATTTGTAATAGACGAGGATCGTTATGAACTATTTATTTTTTATCTCCTCTGCTTTGTCAAAACACAAATCTCTCAAAGTCCATGGTATCCCAAACCAAACTGCAGGCAGGAACATCATGATGATGTTCCTCTTCCCTGGGAGGGTGGTGAGGCCCTGGCACAGCTGCAGCTGCCCCATCCCTGGAAGTGTCCAAGGCCAGGTTGGACGGGGCTTGGAGCAACCTGGGCTAGTGGAAGGTGTCCCTGCCCATGGCAGGGGGTGAGACTGGATGGTCTCTAAAGTCCTTTCCAACCCAAACTACTCTATGATTCTATGAATTCAGTAAAGATGACTTAGGAAAATGATAACCACAGTGACAACTCTGCCTTATACCACCCTGCTTTGTATTTTCAGGAACACGACATGGACTGAAGCTGTATTACAATTTCAACCCATGTGCAGCAACTAAAGATTTCAAGTGGTCAGGTAAGTACCAAGCTTCTAGAGGGGAAACACGGTAAGAATCAAATCTCCTTGATAAAATGGAGAAGAAATGCAGACTTTTTACTGGTGACATGAGCAGCAGTGAAAAAAAGAGCATAATCCCCCCCCAATCACTCCCCAATTGGTACATATGGATTAACAATGGGGTCTTGTCTTAAGGCAGGACAGGAGGACTCCTGGTAAGATGTTGCTCTAGCTGTGGTATCTGACACCTCCCCAGCTGTTAAATGATGTGGGGTGTGACCCTGCAGCTGGTGCCCATGAACAGCCAGCCCTGATTCCTGGGATGGAAAAGGGTTTCTCCAGCCCAGTAGGGATGAAATGGCAAACCCAGGTACCATTCAATGCAGGGCTGTTATGGGCTGTGAAACGGAGAGGACGTTGCCTCGTGGGACAGATGGAGAGGAAAGGGAGACAGCAGGAAAAAAAATACAATTCCAGCCAAGCAATATGTCCAGTTACCCAATTCCCTCTCTTTTTTCCTTTAATATTAAAGTAATAACAGCACATTATGTGGAATGGAGAAACCCCTCTCAGGACTGGGTTTTTATCAAGGTGAGTGACAAACCAAGACACATCACTGTGTGTTTGGGAGGCAGTGACAGACGGCAGAGCCCATTCCCTGCACCCCAGCACTGCAGGGAACATTACAGGGAGAAGACAAGCAACCTGTCCCTCTCTCCCTTCTTATTTCCTTTTTTTTTTTTTTTAATAACTGAAAATATTCCCATTCCTATTAGCCTTCTGTAAGTGCCTCTAAAGGCAGGCTGAAGCTGGGCTTTACAAATTTCCCCTGAATCTCTTGGGAGCAGCCAGAGCCTCCAAAGAAGCAATATCTGGATGGGAAACTTATGTCCTCCAAGCTGGCAAGTTGTAGCACTGACACAGATTTTCTCTGTGTAAAGGGTATAAAGTCCCTTCTGCCTTCTCCTCCTTCCCCCCCTCCCTGTGTTATTTAACAACTGGCTATGATTTACATGGTTCATTAATGCACTGGTAACACTGACACACGCATTCCCAAATAAGCCAGAAGGTTTATATTTGACCTGGGCCCTCTGTTCACTGCAGATGCCCCAGAGGATTTGAAAAACAGTGATTTGAAGTGATTGCATTGGATAAGGACATTACTCAGTGCAAATACAATTGGATGCAAGCATTTAATTTTTAAAAAAACACGGCTATCGCAGTGCCTTTGAGCCAGAGAAAACAACAGTTTAGCTCCCTTCATGGTTTTGGCTTTTTATTCTCCCTGAGGACAGGAAAGGGAAGCAGGACCAGTTTCAAACTGGAGAGGTTTTGTCAGGTGGTTTGGCTGGGATTGCTCTGAAATGGCCTTCAGGATCTTTCAGGTCCCACCTTGGGGGACTGACACCCCAGGCAGGGTGGCAGCAGAGTTTTGGGGTGTCCCTGGGCTGCTCAGCTCCTCCCCAGGCAGCACAGACAGACTTGAGCTCCCAGCCACTTTCCAACAGCAAGAGATCAGGCCCAGGGACGAACTATAAAGGGAATTATTTGTCCCCCTCGGGTTGGATTTTTATTGCTCCATTTTGGTTATTGGGGACTGAAGGGAAGAAAAGGAGAGAGTTTAAAATGATGATTGCACAATAAATGGCAGCAGCTCTGCTAATGTGCTGAGTGCCTGCAAACAGCTGCTAGTCAAACACCCATAAAGGTTTGCTTTGATGAGGTGTATAACCTTCCTCTTCCTTCAAACAGCTTAACTCCATCAGCTCCTTGCCCTTTCCCAGGCAGGTGAGGAAAAATCAGGGAGCTGGAGCACCAGAAGTACAAATCCTGGGATGGCAGGCGGGGATGGAGGGATCTCCAGGGATCAGAGTGATTCCCTGAGCTCCCTCCCTGCCGTGGAGACCATCAGGCTCAGGGATGGGGATATGGTGAAAGAAAACTTGTACAAACAACTGGGACAGGAGACAAGATTGCTGAACACACGAGGGAGTGAAGCAGTGAGAACGTTCCCAAATTCTCCTGTGCCAAAGATTCCCCAGAGAAACCCCCTTGGATGGCTCTGGGAAAACACTTCCCTCTGCAAAGTTTATTATAGCCCAAAAGCAACAGGAGAGGGACAGATCTCTTAGTAACATAAACAGGTCTGGTTTCCACCTATTCTGATGTTTTCTTTGCCTTTTTCACGCCAGATGAGAGCTGGACCCCAACAATTTGAACCCCCCAAAGCCAGTACACATTTCTGTTCATCCTATGGCCACTCTCACATTAATCCTTCCTGCACCCCCTAAGGCCTCCTGTGATCTGCACAGCTCTTCCCATCTGAATGTCTCCCAACTATTTACATACAAAAATAATTATTCTTTCTGGCTGCCCGGGCTGCAGGAACCATCACTGGCTGATTTGGCAGGCAAGAGAGTTTCCTGGGGAAGCAAGGAGAAGCAGCCTCCTTGCCTCTGTGCCAGCTCCACCCCCAGGAACCCTGGCACCATCCGAATTGGAAAGGAGGAGAGGGATTTTAAGGATATTTCCCTGGGTTTGTAAAAAAACGGGGGCTGGAGGAAGAAAGGCCCAAGGTAAAGGCTCCAGGCTGGCTGGCCTTGAGCACCTAGAGCTGCTATCTGGTTTTGTATGAAGGGACCTGCAGTCAGGCCTTGGGATGGCAAAAGACTTCTCTGATTCAGTGTCTCTACAAGGAACTGAGATGGGAAGAGCAGAGACAGCTGTCCCTGTTTGCCCTTTCAACCCCCCAAGCTGTCAGCAGTCCCGGGAGGATGCTAACAGGAGGAGAAAGGCAGATCCTGGTGGGTCTCCGTGGGGAGCAAGCTTGGGAAGAGCAGGGATTATCCATAGCAGCTTTTGGCTTGGTCTGAAAGGCAGCATTGAAAACATTGCAAAGGGTTAGAGACGCTGAAACACTTCCCAACCCCCCCCCCCGTGGACCTATTAATTGCAATATTGGATCTTCCATCTTTTCCAGCAGGTTCCCAGCAGTGGGCACACAGCCAGCTTGGCTGTGGGTTTGTTTATTTTCCAGCTAATGTAGCAGCAGGATCAGTTCCAGCCAACAAAACTGGGAATGTCAGACAAGTGCTGTCCAGTTCCCACAGATAATTTGGGAGGTACACCTGGAAGATGGTCATTAGCACTGTAATTAATCCAGTGCTGTGTCAGGGGAACAGGGACACCTCGCACAAGTGGATCATGAAAAACCCAACCATCAGAAAAGCAATAAGAGCAGATTTGCCCTGTGGATGAAACACTGGCCACCGGCTGGATGGGAAAACTGCACTTGGAAACCTGGCAGCACACACAAAAACTCGGCTGCAAACACCCCTGTCCCTGCAGGACTGGAAGTGGCATCTGAGCAGTGCCCGTTTGGCATCACCGCAGATGAGTTCAGAGTGTGCTTGTCCAAACTGAACCCCCAGCATTTGTTACCGAGCCCATTAAGCTTCAAACAGCACTCGAGCTGCTGCTCCTCACTCATCTGTGCCGGGCTGGGGTTGTTTAACACACGGGCTCTGCCACACCCAGCCCAGACTGAGCACGAGCTGCCAGAAACCCCAACACTCTGCCGGGGAGTGAGGCTCCTCAGAGCAACAAAAATCCGGGGGGGGGGGGGGGGGGGGGGGGGGGGGGGGGGGGGAGAGAAGGCAGGAGTAGGCTGAGAACAAACAAAAATGGATTAAAATATTTATATGTTTTGCCTTTTCCAGGAGCTCGGGTGGGATTTCATCAGGTGCCTGACCAGCAGGGCCCCGTGAGCGCAGGGTTTGCAGGTCAGTGTTTGCCTGGCACCCACTCCTCCCTTTTATCTTCTCGCCTCCCTCTTGTTTTTTAAATATGCAAATACATCAGAGGAGGGTTTCAAACCACGGACTACAAATAGATCTGAAGGGCCTTTGAGCTTTTGAGAGGCTCCTGACTTACTCCAACAGAATAAACAACCACAAATGCGTGGATATTGCACATTCCCTCTGCTGTGACTCCTGTCGTGAGGTCCAGTCCTGTCTCCCAGAACCTCCTTTGTCCTCCCATTCCCAGCATCACCTGGGAATTTTTTTTGTGGGGAGGTTTCTGGGGTTCAGAGCAGCACAGGCAGTGGGGTCCCCCCCTTTTCCTTCTTGTCCACCTCCATCTCAAGCAGATGTTTCGGGGAGGAAAGCTCTGGGATGATGAGCTGAGCGAGCAGAGGGAATGCGAGGCTTTGACTCGAAAACACCGAGCGTTGAGTCATAATTCTCAAAAAAAAAAAAGGGAACAAAAAACAAATACGTGCCAGCTGGGTGGTTCAGAAAATCTCTGATTGGCTCTGATTGAAGCATTCAACAGCACTGGGTCTGCTGGAAAATCCTGAATGAAGATGCTGAGGCCCTGATTTGGCTGAGCACGCCCGGCTGTGTGTGACAGGGATTCAGCACCATAGCAGAGCTGGCTGGTGGAAACCACAAAAACAAGTGATCCCTGTTATTCCCCATATTCCTTTTTTCTCTGCACTTAACACCTTGGCCAACTGTTGTTAGTTTACCTCGTTGCTATTTTCCACTCTGCTTTAGATGCTGGAAAATTGAGGCTGTTCCCCAGGGGAGGGGAAGGGAGTCCCAGCCCTGTGCTGCCCCCTCCTCTGACTGAAATCCCTATTTATTGCACTCTGTTTACTACTAGAAACTTTAAAAATGTTAAATGCTTAGAGGATTTCAGTTCAGACTTGATCCCCAGGCGACCTGTGGTTACAGTTAAATAAGGCTGCTTTATGTATGCTGTACCCTAAATCTAAAGGTCAGGGGTTTGGTGGCCATAAATATTCAAACTGCACAGACTGGGTCTTTTAAACCTCCTTTTAAATATTTATGATGGTGCTTCCATGGCTGCAGGAGAATATTGTAATAGTATTAAGAGGAAAAAAAAATCCTTCTCTATCTAAAAGCTCAGCATGAGCCATTTTCATATATTATGCATCACTAAGTGCTGTTTATGGCCATTTTTGGCAGAGCTTGTACTGGATCGTGGCAGAGTTCATGAATCTGGAGCTGTGCAGAGCTCGGGGTGTTGGCTGTGCCATCCATCAGCCTGGGCATTGCCTCCAGCGTGGTGGGCACAGCTGATGGGACAGCTGAGGTCCTGCAGCCTGGCACTGGGGCTCTTGTCCTCCCACAGACCTGTTCGTCGTGTTGGCCCACGGCACAAAAGCGTTCCCGAAACACTTCAAGCTCTGGAGATCCATGGAGGGAAGATGCCTCTTGAAGAGGGACCAAGCCTTTGCTTGTGCCAGCTGGAGGGTGGGCACAGCCATGCAGTTATTCTGCTGTTTATTCTCTCGTGGCATTTTGCTGAGAGCACCATCAACCTCAGCTGCAGGAACACGTCTCCTGGTGTTCCCGGGGCCGGTCATTCCAACCACAGCTGTGCCCTTCTGCCTCCTCAGAGAGCTCTGCTCATTCTGAGGGAATCAGCTGCCAACGGGAGCGGGTGGGTTGGGTGCAATCAGCAGGATGGGTCGGAGCTGTGACCAACAGCACCCCCTCGGTGCCAGGACTCGGGATTGCCTGGATGCCACAGCATCGCTGCCGGAACGGGATCTGACCGTGGAACCACGGGGTGAGCCAGCAGGGAGGTCAGCAGAGCTGAAATCACTTGCAGACTTTAATCAGCTTCCAATTAAAACTGAGATGGGCTTTTGTCCTTGGGTAGAGCAGCACAATTCAGCCTGACTGATGCCTCTTCCCTGGTGCTCACCACTCTTATCTCTTCAATTTTCAGCAGTGCTTATGGTTTAGGGGGAAGTGCTGTGTCAGCTCGGTTTCCCAGGGCACATGAACCTGTATCACGAACTTAATCTCCCACATGAAGTCATTTTGTGAGGGAAGCAAACTGGCTTTTCCCCTGTTGCACTAAAACAGGCCCTCGAGCTCTAAAAAAACAAGAGAATGATGGACAGGTGAAAGGATGTACAACATCCACCAGCATGCACAGAGTGGGATGTCACAGGCTTCATTTCCTCAGGAAATCAGCTTTAAAATTAAGGCTAATCAGAGTTAAAAAACACTGCAGTTACCCTAGACCAAATGATACTATAATGTACTCAGTATATTACATCCTCAATAGCAAAGCAGCATCTGCTACATAAAATGAAATGTGTGTGTCACCATATGTAGGCAGCATAATGTGGACTCAAATTAAATAAAAACATTTCAGGGTATATGGTCCAATATGCAATCTGGGCCCTGGGAAATGCTGAGTTTTACTCTAAAGTTCTTAGCAGTTGGCTATAATGCTGAACCCAAAACAGTGCAAACAGGGTTTTTTAGCAACATAAGCTGTTATCTGCACTTTCCTCCCTTTAAGCCAATATTACTTCTAGAAATGTGGGAAATTATTTGGTTTATTTTTAATTTTTTCCTCTTTTTTTTTTTTTTGTCTGAGGCTTTTTGCATCTTTCCACGAGTTGAAAAATCTCTGAGAGACCAGAATCCTGCATGTTTGCAAATACTGCTTTCCATCTGAGAGCTGCCCTCCAGAAACACCATGGAAAAAGCCCCAGAAACCACTCAGCCTGTTATCTGTGTACCACAAATAAAGAGGTAAACGCTGCAAAATTACTTGACTCTCACCTTTTCCACTGTTTTTCCCTCTGAAATCTCTCCCAAGCAAGGGGCTCCTGAAGCACTTTAGTGCTATTTTAAAAGAGATCAGGCTGCTAAACTGCACAGGCAATCTTCCCTGTGTGACTCAGGCTCACTGCAGCTCTGATGTTAGTTTTTATCCTCTTTGACCCCATTTGTTGTTAACAAAATGTGGAATAAACTGTGGATTCCCTCCAGGTGTCAGAAACACTGGGAATACGCTGGTTTTGCCTGGCTTGGGTAGCTGAGGAGTTTGTTATGATGAAGGATTGATCATTGTGTGCATTCAAGGCTGTTGGGAAGCTGCAAACCCTTTCAGTCTGTTAATGTGGATTTCATTTTCATTCAAAACAAATACAACAAGTGTAAAAATAACTTTAAAGTGCCAGTGAGGAAGGGGATGTTTGCAGAGGAGCTGCTTCACACAGTTCTGCCCTCCTGTGCCAGGTTTCCCTGGTGTGAGGGTTTTATCTCCTTTGCTCAGGTCCTTGAATTATTTGGATAATGAAAAGCCCAGGAAAGCCAGTGTTCTACTTTGTAGAAGCAGCAAAACAAAATTTCCAACTGTGAGGCTTGGACTGGAAGCATTTGATGAGGGGAAAAGTCCGGCTGGACCAGAAAGCGAAGGAAAACACAATGATGCCAGTGGAACTGGCTGTGCCACCGTCTGGAAATCCTGGATACACCTGTAAAGGTCTGGGAAGTCACTGAGACAAAAAGAAGAATGCCTACATGCTGTTTTCACCGGGAAAAAGGGAACTCAAGGTAAATGACAGGGAGAGGAATGTAACGAATCTGTTCCTGCCTGGGGCGCTGCTGCCGGCAGCAGACTCTGCCTTGGGGTCCTCTGAGACTTCCTGTGCCAACGGGGAAAGGATTCGGCAGCTCCCAAAGATCGGAGGCGTGGAGCTGGCTGCAGTGCCAGGGCTGGATGCCACCGAGGCTGGATGCCACCAAGGCTGCTGTCTCACACATCCACCCACCGTGAGCCCCGTCCCCTCACCGCTCCCAGCCCTGCGCTGGTTCGGCGCAGCAAACAAAGAGAGAAGCTGCAAACCTAAAAAAAAAAAAAAATAACCAACCTGGATGGCATTTGGTTTTTCTCCTGTCTTTTCCAGTTCCCTTCCTGCTCTTTGTCTTCTGCAGCTCCCCATTTCCTCAGCTTTTGTGTTATTCCTTCTCTCCGATGGCAAAAGCTGGTTCTTACCATTCCTCGCAGGTGCTGCCGGTTTCTGACCCGTTCTCCCTCGGTCTCCCTGAAGCATTAGGGGATGAATTGAAGTCTGGCAGTGTCTGCTCCTCAACCCACTTCTGAGCAGGGAGGTGAAGAGCTGCAAAGAATGAAAGATGTTTGCTTTAAAAAAAAAAACAAACAAACAAAAACAACACGCCACGTTTTCAGATCTGTTCGTGCACCTTGCTTTTCATTCCCATCTCCTTTGTCCTTTGGGGGCATCTGGAATTCCCAGTGCTGAGGCAGCAGGTGAAAATGTATGGAAAGGGCCTTATCTGACTTCAAACCAACTGCTCGAGAGATCAGGTCCTTAGAGACGATCAATGAAATTTGCCTGAAATCAGCTGGAATTGGTCCTAGATTTTTATCAGCCCGTCAGGGGATGGGCAGATACCAAGGCAGCTTTTCAGTGTCCAAGTGGACATCAATTGTGCAGCCACAGTCCTTCCTTCCTACCAAGATCTGTTTGGGACCTGGAGGTGTTGTCACCTTTCTGACTTGGCTAATCCATGACTTTTCCATGAGATCCTCATGACCAGAATGTCCACAGAATGTCTCCTGTGGGTGGTGAAGGTGAGGAGGGACAATCGCAGGAGGGGCTGAGCCACCAGAGGCTCTGACAGGGAGATGCTGTGGATTGAAACCAGGAACAGGGAGATAGCTCAGCACAGAGAGCTCTGCAAGGAGCCACGTCCTGTGTTCATCACTGAGTCTGCCTGCATGAAAGGGGCTGTTGAGGAAGATCACAGAGGTGTGATTTCCTCTGAGGATAGATTTCCTGCTCCCCCGCTATCAGATGCTGCTAACCCAGCAATGAGAGCTCCCAGAGGGCTCCTTGCAGCGAATCCTCCTGTCACACACTCTGAAGTCCCATGACACTGATGCTCATGCCTGGCATCTCTCCCCCTGACACTTTTCTGACAAAGGGATCAATAGTTTGGGTCTGTTTGGAAAATCAATTCAGCGCTGGGCAGCCCTTGAAGGAACACCATCAAAGTGTCGGACGAGCCAGTGGTCCCAGGGGGGACAAGATGCATCTGACCTCGCTGATGGCACAAGAGTGATGAACAGGGGAGAGATGGGAAGGCTCTGCAGATTCCTGCAGCTCCCAGCACAGAGGAAGGGGCTGCCTGCCAACCCCTGCCAAGCCCTGCCATCCCCTTCTGTCCAACTCTGTGTCCTCCCGCCCTAGAGAACAGCGTGATCTGGAAAGCAAAGTACTGGCCTAAATTGCATCCTATAAATCAAGAAGAGAAGCCAGGTGTGTTTTTATCTCCTCTCCTGCATCACACAGCAAGAGTTTCATGAAGAGCAGCTCTCCTGTAATTTCTGGAGGAGCTGGGATGCATCCTTGGGAAAGGCTCTTGGCTCTGATTTAACTGTGTCAAGCGATGGAGAGGGCACCGAGCCTTCAGCTGGGTTGTTTCACAGTCTGATTATCTTCCCCTGAGGAAAGAAACCAGGCCCTATTTCTACTCCAAACTGTGGACTCTTGCTTTGACTTTTTTTTGGCAGATGGAAGAGCCTTCATATACAGAAACCTTCCCCTTGGCAGCCTCCCCTCAGCCCGTCCTTGTGCTGGTGAAAGAGCTGGATCATCTTTAGTCCCACTCCATGGGCAGGTTCTCCAGACCCTGAATCCTTTCCAAATTTCTAAAGAGGCATTTTTCAAAGTCTGGGTAAGACACTGTGGGAATCAAAAGATCTGACTTGTGTTCCCACTGGGCAATTTTTTCCTTTTATTTCTCTTGGTTTCTTTGATTTATGTCCTGGGAGCTCTGTGGGACGGGGGCTCTTTCCCAGAGGAAGGACCATACAGGGCCTCACATTCTGGAGCTCATGTTCAATAACAAGGTTATTGATATTAATTCAGAAACACTTCAAAAGAGGAATAAATTACAACAAAATGCAGAGCTGCTGCTTTTGCCCTTTACCCAAGTGCAAGCCATGACTATTACCATGAAAGTCAATGAAACTGGGTGGGTATAAAACCAAAGGAGAGGGAGTAAAGAGATTTCCCTTGGGAACATGCTGTTGGTGTCTTGGAAAAATCAATTTCAGAGCCTTATCTGTGTAAAACAAGGAGGAGTTCTTCTCTTCTGAGGTCTAAAACACCCAAACCAAGTCACCCTCCATGGCTACAGCAACCTAAGGTGAAGCTGATCTCGTTGAAAATTTTTGTGTGAAAGAAGCTCTCACTGCTGGGCTTCTGCATCTCTCAAGTCTATTTTAAGCCCTGTGAGCTCCAGCTGCACCTGGGCCCTCACATGGAGCATCCTGAGCTGCATCAACCACGTGCTGCCAGGGTTAATCAGGAGCTGCTCAGGTGGTTTTTGAAGACACTTTTAACAGTGCACCCGCAGAGAAATCCAGCCACGTGTAACTCACCAGTCCTCCTCCCTCCTTTGAATTTTGGGGGTTTTTTTTATCCCACTGTGAGCCCTGCTGGGGGAAGGTGATGCCCAGGGTAATGAAACACCTTCTGAGGTGCCAGGGGAGGATGTGTTCAAACCCTGTCATGCCACTGATGCTTTTGGCCTCGTTGTGCTGCTCTTGATAAAGTCAAGAGGAGCTTAATGCTTTTTAAAGATCCTCAGCTTTTATGGGCTATAAAGCATCAACCTTAAAGGGAGGTGCTGAGGGAAGTATCTCCCAGATAGATCTCTGTGGGATAGTCAGACATGCCAGCTTTCCCACAGCTGCTCCCTGGGCTGCCTTTTCCTAAGCTCACTTTAAACGAAGGTGATGGTTTCCCTCCTAGAGAAGAGCTGCCTGAAGCTGCTAAAACACTCTGAGGGGGACTGGGACAACCTTCCCTTGGACATTTGCTGATGGAAACACACAGAAAGCTTTTTCCAGTTTGTTCTCAGCTGTTTGTTCCCACTGAGGCTCAGTCACAGTGCTGCAAATTTCCTGAATTCTGTGCTCCACGATCCCAGGGCTTGGAAAGGGCCCTGCATCAGCTCAACCCTACAGAGATCCCATCTCCTGCTCCAGTAACAAGCACTCCAGAATAAAAAAATCCTTTTGCAATGAGTAGCTAAAGGGGGAAATCCTCCAGTGGGAGCCTCTGCTAATTGTGGACCTGTGGCAAGTGATTCCCATTAAATTATTCAATAATCCCTAAGAGATGATCTGATAACATCTCACCTCTGGAATGTTTCTGTGTTGCTGTTCATCTGCATCACCAGATACTAAAGGAATGAATAGTATTTATGAGGTCCTGGAAAAACTGGTTTGAAAAGCATTCAGGGTGTGTGTGAGAGAGAGAAATGAGGGGGAAACAATCCCCACGGACCCTGGGGAGGGGAATGTGTGAGTGGGCACTGCCTGCAGCCCCTGCTGCACCAGCGGGACCTTTGCAGGGGGCCGGGAGGGGATGCAGGTGAGGATGCTCTGCAGAGCAAAAGCATTGTCACGTCCTCCCACTGCCTTGACTTAATTTAGCTCGGAGCCTGGCAGAGGATGCAGCTCGGAGCCTTCCTGGGGGTTCGGTCTGGGAGCGCCTTTGCTCGCGGGGTGGTGCTCTGGGGGGAAGGGGGGGTGAGATCCCTGTGCACCCCTCCCTGTTCCCAGGTACCACCGGGGATCGGGGGGGGGGGGGGGAGGGCATTGAGAGGGGGGTTCAGGGGGGGGTTCAGGAGGGGGTTCAACCCCCCTGTTCCAGCCCTGCTCCCCGCGGGGCCGCCGCAGCATCACCCC